GGGAGGGGGAGTGATGGTTGGAGGACCCACAAGTTGAAGATCGTCGAGAGCTTTTAGAACCTCCTGTTCCTGGCGCTGAATCTCAGCTTTGGTGTGGTGGTCGGGGGTTTGGCGACCGGTGGGGTTGTGTTTCTGCGGGGCTCGCTTAGCGAGGTATTCGGCTTCTTTGATGCCTTGCCGGCGGCGATTGAGGGCATCAAGAATGTACTTTTCACAGGCCACATGGCCGTTGGCTGAGGCCAAGCCTACGGGTACCATGCCATCCTCGTCCTCCATGTCCACTACATGAGTTTTCAGGAAGGCCTGTGAGAATAAGCTCTCATAATCCGCTTGTGTTCACAAGTGTGGCGAGCGTGATGCACACGGTGTACGCGATGCATGCCCAAATGAGCTGTTGTCTTACGTTGAGCGCCGTGCGCGGCCAGTTCTTGCAGAGCATCTAGATGGCCTTGTTCTGCAGCATCATGTACCGGCTGCAATCGGTGCCCAAGACACCAGGATGGGGGTTAGGTGGGGGTGACAGACAAACATCCGCCCATGTCCCTGGGTCGTCCTGTCGTGCGCGACAGGGATGGCCGAGACAAGACGGGCCAGCAAAAGAGAGTGACAGCAAGCCGGAGCAACACACCGTGGCTCCAATGGCATCACGTTCATTGCCCGAGGCGCGGCAGTGCGCGAGAAAAAAACTATGTGAGCCCCAGATAAACATATGAGCTGAAAGAGGCCGGCTACTGAGTAGCAAGCCGGGACAACGCGAGCGGGTGCTTTGTACCGCAGGATTGTGGCATGGCCCTTGACAGCCGCAAAATGAACGGGGGTGGCGCCATCACCATCGACGATACGCGATGGAGAGCGGGGGCAGGCCTTGCACAAGGCCATGACGCATTCAAGGCGCCCGGCCTGAGCAGCTGCGTGTAATGGGGTCATGCCATCGTGGGCAGCTTGCATGGGGTCGACACGACTTTGCTGAATAAGCCATTGTAAGCATTCAAGCTGGCCCTCTGTCCACAGGGAATGGGGACCGGGTGCCACGAAATATGAGGATTGCAAGACCAACAGTAGAATCGGGTTGCCAAGGCTTGGGGGATGATCTGCACTCGGCAGAAGCAAAGCACGTACCTTGGGCAGCATAGTAAAGGGGCGTTGTACCGTTGTCGTCAACGTCACTGGGGTTGGCGTTGGCCTATCGTTACAATTCAAGCATCGGGCCATGAGGACTTGCCAGGTACAAACGAACGGCATCGAGGCCAGAATCCCAACCTCCTCGCAGAGCCAACGCAGGGTTTGGAGGTGACCGCGGGTGGCAGCAAAATGGACGACTGAGCTTCCATCAGCAGCCGTATCGGTGACGCTAATGACGATGAGCAGATGCAGGGCCGGAGCGCATTGTGAGAATGGCAGGCAAGCACAGCCCAGCCGAGGAGCGCGGAGAGATTGGGCAAACGGCAGGCACGTACGCCAGGCCGTGTGTTTCTGAAACAAGCCATTTGAGACAGACAAGCTGGCCATTGAAGGCGGCATGATGGGCTGGCATGGCGCCCGACTTGTCGCTGTTGAAAGCGGGAAGGTGAATGGGGAGTGGGTCAGCGGGCGGACCCTACCAACAAGGGGCGAGGTGGGGTGTGGGGGAGGGACAGCTCTCGAACCTGGCTCGGAGATCTGCGCCGGTGCGGTCAACAAGCCAGAGGGCGCAGTTGAGGTGGCCCTTGCTCACCGCTGCGTGATGTGGGGTTACAAAGGGAGGAGGAGGGTCGTGGCAAGCAATGTTGATGAGCCAAAGTGCACGAAGGGGGCACAAAAGGCGCACATCTTGTGCCTCGTGCCATCAAGGTCGACGGGCGGTGGGGCAGGACTCGTACCAGCGTGAAGGGGGGTGGCTCCGCGCGCATCGCGGACGTCAGTGATGGGACTTTGGTGATGCAAAAGCTGAAGGCAGCGGAAATGGCCGAGGCCGGCAGCCTTGACGGCGGGGGTGTTGTGCTTTCGACAGGTGGCGCAGACGGTATCAGCCGAACCCTCCTCGACGGGTCCCTGGTTGACCTGTGGAGCTGCGTAAGCTCCAGTGTAGGCCCACGACATGGTGGCGTTGGCAAGCGGCGAGGGCGAGGGAGAGATAGAGAGATAGAGAGAGGGAGAGAGAGAAACCGGCAAAAGGGGTACACCAGGCCACCCGAACAGGTTCCGGGGGCACGGTCGGTGAGGAAGGGGTCGATAGACCCGAGGAAGGGACCTTTGAGCGAGTGGCCTTTCTCACTCAGTCCCAACCGAAGAAAAGAAGGGAAACGACCAGGCGATCCAAAGTGACCGAGGGCGACGCAGGGACCAAGGGCAACCAAAGGTGACCGAGGGAGCACGCTCTTCTGCCGCGGTCGTGACAAGGCTCCGCGATCCGTCCAGAGCCCCAACAAGAGAGAGAGAGAGAATGAGAAAGAGAAGAGAGAGAGAGAGAGAGAGAGAGAGAATGAGAGAAGAGAGAGAGAGAGAGAAGAGAGAGAGAGAGAGAGAGAATGAGAGAAGAGAGAGAGAGAAGAGAGAGAGAGAGAGAGAGAGAGAGAGAGAGAGAGAGAGAGAGAGAGAGAGAGAGAGAGAGAGAGAGAGAGAGAGAGAGAGAGAGAGAGAGAGAGAGAGAGAGAGAGAGAGAGAAAGAGAGAGAGAGAGAGAGAGAGAGAGAGAGAAAACAACTGTGTTAGCGTTCAAGGCTGACATGTGTGTGACCCAACAAAAGTGTAGTCCACACCTGTGGTGCAAACGCAATGGTAGAACAAGCTACTTGACTCACACACGTTCGTTTCACAGAAGTGGGTTGTCATGAGTGTTGTCAGATCAAATCTCAATGGGCCGGGAGAGAAAATTCAGAGATGCGACTGGTCATGCGATCACGAGGTTTGAGTGGGGCGTGTTTGTGTGCATTCATGCACGCCATCAACCTCCTTTCCATGACAAGGAAAAGCAAAACATGCTGGTCAAGGGCCCAGGCTCTGATACCCAGCTTGGTCCAAGTGTGGTGGAACTGGACCAGCAAGGCCTGCACGCCACCTCCTGGCAGCCACTGTTGCTGTTGCCATCAAATGCTCCTCCCATATGCTGGCTCGCCCCAAGGTTCAGGATGGTTTGCAGCCCTGCTGTTTCGTGCCAACGATTATGTTCGCAATCAAGCGGGGGCGTTGTTCTGCAGGTTGCTGCTTAGGGTCTGGTCTTGTGGTCACCCGCATCACCCGCCGCCTCAACCAACCGGCTTCAAATCAAGACATGCATTGTGCAAGCAATACAACCTCAATTGCATCACCATCATAAGCAAACAGTAAAAGGTGCGTAAAACGGCATTCACTGACGGGGCGGGACAGCTTGTTTCATGCACTCAGCCTTTTCCACCCATCCCCAACCCACCAGTGGGTCAAGGCTGGTGACTCCATGCCCCCAGACAAGCAAACGTACAGAAGACAGGTGGTTCAAACAAATTGTTGAACAAACACAGAACATTGCGCAAGGTGGACGGCAAACAAAAAGGCAGCAGAACAAAAGGAGCCAGTGAAAAAGGAAAAACAAAATGGGGTGGAGCGTAGTGGCGCCGGCACAACACGTGTCGATTTAAGCGTAAGCAGGCTTGCTGCTGTAGGCCGGAGGAGCCACGGGTTGTTGGTAAGGCTGCTGGTGGTAGGACACGGGGACGGGCTGCTGCTCGTGCACGACCTACACGAGTGGTCCGACATGGCACATGCGCAGCGCACGGTCAATCAAAGTGACATTGAACATGGGCATCCCGCCATCGAAAAGCAAAAGGCAAACAAGAACGCAACCCTGATGCGCTTCGGCGAGATGCGACGTACCGCCACGTAGCGAGGGCGCGAGGCAGCAAAGCAGGCCAGGCCGCAGCAGAAGCAAATCACAATGGGGGCGCTACAATGAACATATCCATACGCCCAGAGGGAACGAGCCAGACATCTTGTGAGCAACACCGTAATTCTGCTGCCAAAGTGACCAACAAGCAAAAAGGCGTGGATCACGCACCAGAAGACGAAGATGCAGCCAATGACGATGGCGGCAATAATGGCAGCACCGAGGCCATCAAGATCGTTGCAGCTACATCATCATGTTTGCGAGATCACAGGAAATAAGTCGGCGGGGGAGGAACTCTTCTCATTTGATGCAGTAGAGCAGCAGAGTGATAAAACAACTTGGTGGTAAATGCACTTACCCAGACTCGTACACATAGGTCGAGGTGATGGCTACGCAATGGCAAAGAGCCGAGGCAGTTAAAATGGAGAGCAAGGATGCGAGAGCAAGCCCAAATCGAACAAAAGGAGCGGGGAGAAAGAACAAGCAAACAAGCAAAAGGCCAGGGGAGCAATCCCATTGACTAACGATTGATATCATCATCGCTGTAGGAATAGATCTGAGAGCACAGACTGTCGGCAAACTTGTTGCAGGTTGACATGGTGCACTGGCTGTTGCAGGTGTAGTTGTCAAGCTAGCATCAAGAGTGACAGAGGGGTCCAGGTCAGGCCCAGAAGGCAATGGTCTGAGCATAAATTGCTGGGCGGGGCGGGGCGGGGCAGGGTGCGTACCGTGGCCCAACCGGTGTTGCAGTCGTAGTAATCGTTGGAGCGGCAGCACTCAAGGTAGCACGAGCAATGATGCTTGCCTATTGTCACAAGTTCCGGGCATCATCAATCAGAGCCCTCAGCGCGGATACCCTCGACTCGAACAAATCAAGGGCGCAGGAACGGAGAGCTCACCTTCGACGGCCACGGCGAGTGCCAGAAGCACAACCAAACCCACAAACTTCATCATCTTGCTCGGTGGTGAGGAGGGAGAAGGTGAGCCACCTGTTCCGATTCGAGCCTGCTAGATATCAAGCCGAGGCAGCAAGCCAAGGCATCAGGCGGGTGACATGTGCACGATCCGACGGTTTCAGGCCGTCACCCCAGCCCCTTGCAACAAACACACAAAACGTCCTCCTCCTCCCCCCCCATCGGCTTTGCGGTAGTAACCCAGCACGCTTTAGAAGAGGCCTGCCATAAACTCAGATTGCCAAGAGCCCCATCCTCACGGACCAAAGCCCGAAGAAGGAAGGAGGGAAGGAAGAAGGAAGGAGGGAAGGAAGAAGGAAGGAGGGAAGGAAGAAGGAAGGAGGGAAGGAAGAAGGAAGGAGGGCAGGCAGGAAGGCAAGAAGCGCTGATTTGGAAGGGCTCAGGGACGTGTGCGTCTGGCTCAGCAGAGCGGCTTACGACTTGCCGTCAATGAGAGAAATGCACATTTACATTCACACACACACACACACACACACACGTCAAAGGAGGAGTCTAAAAATAACGTTGTGATGTCACCCTTGCGGTTGATCGTGAGGTCAACGCCAAGCCGATTCAGCAGAAAAGCTTAAGCTTGGTCCTGGTTTTTCAAGTCAAAACGATAGGTCGGATCTGGGCAGGTACAAAGTGCCACACACATCACACTTCTTATAAATCTAGCACATGTAAGTCAGAGCAAATTGCAAGAAACAGTCGAAATCCTTCAAAATTGAATTTCTGACCCCTATTTTGAAAAGAAGCTGAGAGAAAGAAAAAAACAAAAAAAAAAAAAAAAACCCAACGATGAAATGACATTGTAACGATCCAACTCGGGGCTCGGTCATTGAAGCCATGGTGCTAGTCTACAGATGGCCCGCCAACAGTCAGCGGTGTCAAAGAGCGACACGGCACAAATGGGTCAAGTCTGGAGAACAAAAAAAAAGAACCAAACTATAATCAGGTGCTGTAGCACGCTTGTGTGCAAGAGACGTACCCATGGCGTGCCACGGTACTGGCGTTGACGGGGATGGTCATATCGATAGGCATGCCGTTGAGGCCAAGTGCCATTTGCAAACGATATCCATCAACGCCCAGGATAAACAGCGTTGGAATCTGTAAGCAAAGCCAACAGCAAGCGTCAGGCCGAGCCAGGCCGCAGGCCAGTGTGGCAGGGGGGAACGCCGCTGCAGACCTCGACAATGTAGTCCAGGCTCTCCACAATCATGTCAATCCAGTGCCCGTCATTGTGTGGATCGTTGTCATAGATGATGGCAGCGAGTGCACCAGCTTCCTGAACCCGAAACGCCTTTTCTGCAAAGCTACATGAGCTGTTGAGGGCAGCGGGCAGAGGAGCAGAGAGGCAAAGATGAATGCAGGACAGCATGTTGGCCCCATCACCCCGCGACGTCGTGAGCGCATGACCTCACGCGCAAGGCAGGCAGGGCCAAAGAATAGAGTGCGGCATGTAACATCATGTGAAAGCAGACCATACCCGCGCGCCACGAGAGCTGCCTGGCCCTCAAGGGCTGGGCCGTTGGTTAGGGGAGCGCATGCATTCATAGGGGCAGCTGAGTGGGGCAAGCACGGGGGCTGTGAGCACTGATATTTTGCGACAAGGCTATGAAGCACACGGCAGTGCTGATGGCGGTGGCCGCGCACTTGGAACGAGATCGACGTGATGGTAAATTTTGTCAAAGGGTCCACCAAAGTCTTTGGCGGGCAGGCCTTGGAATACATAGGCCACCTCCTCCGGCTGCGCAATAATAAGCAGATTCAGAGGGCACGGAGGAAAGATGCACAGCAGCACCAAGGCAGGGTGTAAGGGGGCCAGCTGAATCAGTAAGAATGACACGGGGCGGGGGAAGCAGGACGAGGAGCTTGGTGCGCGAAGGGAACTGACGTGGTGAATCTGAAAGTAGATAAAGCTTGAACCATGGGACGGCGTGAACATGGTTATCGCGAGCCATAAAAAGGCTGATAGAAAAGAGGGCGCGCCATGCCCGTGCCACAAGTTCATGGTCACGGGGAGGCGGGGGTAAAGAGCAGAGAAGCTATCAGCGATGCCCCGCAGGGCTCGGATCAGCGCTCAGCATGCGGCGAACCGACAGTGTGCGTGCTCAGTTGGCGAGTGTGCTCCCCCAACCACTCCAACAAGTCAAGAGTGGGGCAAAAAACAAAGTTGCCAATGCCGCCAAATTGATGCTGTTCCGGGCCAGAGGCGAAAGAGGACGCGAGTAGCGATGTATCGTCCACGAGCGAACGCAAGAGGATGGCTCAAGCTTAAAAAAAAAAAAAAAAAAAAAGGAACACAGCCTCATGCTCGCAGTAGCTTGATATCGGATGTCATCATGGCATCTTGTCAGCAAAAATAATAGTTGTCAGAGGACTTTACTTTACAACAACATTGACACATCCTTCAAAATCAAGTGTTTTTGTGTTCGAACGAAGAACGATCATCTTGCAGGAGATGTCGTGAGGTTGTCACTTAACATGTCAGAACATTTGGACAGATTGCAAAGTTACCCAGATGCTTGCGCATGCAAATGTCATGACTCACAATGGGCCTTGAGGGACCCCAAACTGATTTTTGTCTGTACCGCGTGCCAGACCATTCACGAAATTGTTGCTTGGAACGTCGTGCCGAGGAAGGGCCACAGCCGAAAAGTCGAGAACCTTGCCGATGCCGTTGCTCGCGGTGCGAGCGCAACGCAAGACATGCCGCACTCAGGTCTGGTACACTCCTATGAGTGCATATGTCACAGCTTTATTGGCCCAGGACAACCCCGTCACCTCCTGTCTCCGCTGACCTTGGAGCATGGTGGCATCCATCTATCCATCCATCCATCAGCCTTCCCATGCTGTGGCTGTCGTACGCAGGCCCATCGTGGTGTGGATTCGCAGCACACAAGGGTTGGGGGTGGGGGGCGGGGCGGGGTCTTTCTCTTCCTTTGAAACGAGAGGCCCATTCGGAGACCATCCCTCAACTCGGGATTTTCGGGCCCCAGTTCAGATGGAAGACCCACGTGCATGCCATTCGACTCGTGGCCCCCAACTGCCCGTGGCAAGCCGAGGTCGACGGGAAACATATGCCCAAGGCACGAAACAATGGTCAAGGATGGGACTTCCGTCGGGTAGCAGGAGAGACAATTCCAGCCACGTGCGGCGATGGGGCGGGCTGTTGAGGGTTGCCTGCTCGCTTGACGAGGATGGGGGCATAGCAAAATAGCCACAGGCTCTGAATACGGCATAGGTAGCGCCGGGTACGTTGAGTGGTTGCTTGACGAGCTGCTAGCCCAACGCGCGCATGCGTCGAGAGACACACGCAAACACAGCGGGAAGAGTGGGATTTGGGCCAGCGGGGGCTTGCTGGGCCAACGCAACGCGTCGACTCGCTCGCTCCCTTGGGGCGCCGTCGATCAGGGTGGTGGCGCTCGGGAGTCGGGGCCGGTGGGGCGGAGGGTACTCCTTCTTCGCCTGAACCATTGATAAGATTATCATGGCTGCACACGAAAATTTTTAAGCATGTCTTGTGGGGTTTGGCCGTCTTGTCACCCCCGACTCCTCTCGTGCTCGTGATTGTGATCACGCAGGTTGCCCCAAGGTAGTGTGGTACAGGGGGAAATGGTCAAGAGCTACAAGGCGTTTGCCGTCATCACGAGGCATGACGAAAGGATTTAAACTGCATAATGTAATGCAGCCATGGGCAAGAGCTGCGCTTGTCACCCGACAGCCCGGCAACGTCACACGAACAAGACGTACGACTCAACATGTCCCTTGGTCATCGTCTAGACCCATAACTGATTGTGTTTGATATGGGTCCGGCTATACTTCTTGGGACAAACCCTCATCCTTACCCCATCCCGTGTTTTGCAAAGGCTACATGCAAGCAATAACTCAAGAAGGAAGAAGAAGAAGAAACTAGAGAACCACGCGAAAAAATTTTTTTTGAAGAAAAACTGTTTGGTTAAGAGTTTTAAGGTTATGATGAGCGAGGGCTCGCTTCCGCTTCCGTCATCGGTGTCGCGTCGAGTCGCACACACACGCACACGCACCCACACATCATACCGTACTCGGAAACCCAGGATATGCTCCAGCCAGCCAGCCAGCCTCTTTGGTTGGTTGGTTGACATGTCGAGCATTTTTCTCTTCGCAGGCTGCCTGTCGGTCGCCTTTATTGCTCGTGCCGTACATCCTATTTATTATTTCCTTGTCTGTTTTGCATTAAGGTACTGTCAGATCGCTCCCTGCCCCTGACCTCGTGGTTCCGCAGTTTCGCAAAGTGGCACTGCCCTCGCGTTTTCCCACAGGCTACGAGCGTTTTCTCTCCTGCCGGCTGCCGTTGCGCCTTGAGCCCTTTTCGTGTTTTTGAGTGCCGAGTGGTCAAAGTGTAAACGACAACACATATCATCACATCCCGACCCACGCCTACGGCTTGCTTTTGGTCAGTTCTTGCACCGCATTCGATATCCCCATCCACCCCACGCACCCCCACCCGCTCCTCCCCGCTTCCCTGCTTTGGCAGCCGAACCCGTCTTCATAAACAGACGAACAGACAGACAAAAGAGAATGGGGAAGAGCAAGCCGACACAACACACACACACACACACAACACACACACACAGAGCCCACATTTAAGTTTTGCTGTTCTGTGTGTGAGGGGACATTGCATGTGATCTCTCGTTGTTGCAAACTTGTGAAGGTGCTTTGCTTCTTCTTCGTCTTCTTCTCTCCCTCTTGCATTTATAGTAACTAATCAGCGTTAACTTGTCTGTACTCTCTCCTCTCTCTTAAGGAATCTTCTTCTTCTTCTTCGCCTCTCTCTCTCTCTCTCTCTGTCTCTCTGTCTCTGTCTCTCTCTCTCTCTCTCTCTCAACGCGACAACTTGACGGTCATGCGTGCGCGCAGGTGATTAGCCCCGTGTGGGGGGGGAGGTGGTGTTGCAGAGCCAGCACCGATCTGGTCTGGTCTGGTCTGGTCTGGTCTTCTTAATAAGTATGGAAGAGGCGCCTGGTCCACCCGCTTCGGTGTTGTCGTCGGTGCCGTCGTCCACCACACCCTCGGCAACCAACACCAGCGCCTCTTCAAAGCCGCCCCAGCTGGATCACCACGACCCAACGGAGGACGATCAGGTGAGAGTGGGTTAGCGTCCCGATTGTGCCGCATACCAGAACAGCCCCCCCGCCTCCCTCGCCTTCGCTTCTCCACAATACCTTATCAGACCCACCATCTCTTCGTTTACTCGACGAGTCAGAAACCCGGCCGTTGAGGGGTGCTGTGGGTCATCCGGTCTCACTACCGCTGCCACTTTTTCCTCACCCCCCTTTTTTTTCGTTTTTCGTTGCTCGCGGGGTCTCTGGTGCGTGTGCAGGAGCGACATATCTGTGATGTTTGTGGTCGATCATATGCTCGGCGTAATCACTTGCTCCGGTACGAACCAAACCCCTGGGTGAACCCATATCTCAGTCGCGACCCATCCCTGATGTCTGGTTGGGCACGACCCTTTCTCAATTGCACGCTTCCGGCATCGCGGGTGCGTTGACTAGACATCAAAAGAGCCACCGTGGCCACTATCCCTTTTCCTGTAATCTCTGTGGCAAGCGGTTCTTCCGAACGGTGAGTTGTTGCCTGAAGACACACGCACGCGTGCAAAGACCCCC